GGGTGCCCTGGGTGTCTTGGACTTCGATGGGTCCCCAATAAGACTTGGATGATTTTCGATCGACGAATTTGGGTTTTCATGAAACAGATCGCGGAAATCAGGGTTGGGTTTCTTGCGGGACGGAGTTCTTCTGGCGGTATACTCGGCGGACCTCCTGGTTCCAAGCCTCCTTAGGAGGCTTGGAACCAAGAGATCCGCCGTCCCCCTCGCCCTCCCCCCCCCCGCCCTCCCCCCCTCCCCCCGCCACGACGCCCGTCATCGCCGAACATAAGGAAACGCGCTCCTACTTGGCAGCGGCAACATAGCCACGCACCGGCAGGCGGGCAGCACAATCGCCGCCGCCGCGGCGGAGCTCTTGCGAACCGTGCTGCGGCCTCCGAGCCTGCGGGTGCCTCCTCCTGGAGAGTCTGTGCCGTGCCGCGGCGCTGCGCACGTGGCTCAACGGGTGGTGCACGGCTCGCCGCCTCCAGTCTCGCGGCCGCTGCGTCTTCGGGCGCGCCATGGGCGAGGACGCTGTGGATCAGGAGAGGAAAAAGCACACAGACACAACTCATCCTCGATTCCCCAGAAAGTGTGCAAAAATATGGGGAGTGGGGGGGAAGACAAAAACCCCCAAAATATATGAAAATATGGGGAATCTGTTTTTTGTGTGTATTTATTTGTGTGTCCTGGGGCCCCTTCAGTGGAGCACTACTTGGGATGTGCCCGACTGCATCGGCACGGACAGCGGCGGCTTCGGCTCGCCGCCCCGCCGACCTTCGAGGACCTTCGGGTCGAATTTCTGCTTGCCTGAGCCGGCCTCCCGGCTCCCGGACGCCGTTCTGGTTCGGCGTGCGCTTCCTTGCTCGCTGCCGCATAGAGGCTGCATTGCCGGGTGCGCCGCAGCCCGCCCATCTCTCCGACGAGGATGCGCTACGACGGGCCCTGGGCCACGCGGTTGAAAAAGCGGCGGCCGGGCACGCAGGCGCCGTTCGCGCCCTCGACACCGCCTGGGCCGAGTGAGCCTTCTGGACAGGCGCCTGGATCGGGGGAGCGTAAGACCCGGGTTTGCCAGGACTCGGGTCCGCCATCGTTTTTTGACGACCGCGCCTCGGACTTTGACGAGGAGGAGTTTCGTGGGATGTCTGCAGCGGGAGGCCTCGTCAAAATGCAGGCTCGGCCTCGTCATTTTTGTTGACGACCTCGTCGGGGATTTCCGAGTCCCCCGTACCCGGGTCTTACGTCTCCCCGGACTGAGGGCGTGTCGTGGAGACGACAACCTGCGGCCGAGGGCCTTCCTCTTTCTCTCCTTAGATTTTTTTGTTTTTTCTTCCTCCTTTCTGTTTCTTTTCTCGTCCCTCTTCTCTCTTCCTGATGTTCCTTTTTTTTTTTGTTTCTTGTTATTTTTTTTTTTTTTTTTTTTTTTTGTTTTTTTTGCCCTCCCCCGTGGGCCAGATAGGCAGACCCTGTCGTAACGGCGCATTCCTGGGGAATGCGGCCAAAGTTGTCGCAACCCCGATTCAGGGCCAGAATGAGAAGCTTCAGTCGTAACGGCGCGCTGGTGCAGGCTGTCACTCTGGTCGGAAGTTTCAGTGCGTGGGAGCTTCGCGAGGGGCTCGCAGCAGCTCGCGTACGACACGCCGGGCCTGGCCACGCGGCAGCTTTTGTCCTCGGCAGCTCGGGCCAGACGAAAGGGGGGGATGGGGAAAGGGGGGGTTACGAAATCTGCTGCATGCAGCTGGTTTCGGCCTCGCCGAGGGGCCATATTCCTCGATACGCGACCGCTGGCGCCGGGAGGCGCCAGGAAAATCAGCTACGTGAGCTGATTCTCCCCCCCCCCCTTTGCTATCCCCGCCCTGTCGCCCGACCTGAGCAGCGGCCGCACTTCTCAGGCTCACACCGCCTTGGTGGGAGCCCGAGTGACGAGCACCGTACGCACTCGCGGCAGCCGCCGTGTGCTCCGCGGCGAAGGCGCACGCTTGGCCACCCGGTGCCAGGTCCCCTTCTTGCTCCTCCCTCTCCTTCGCCTCCTCCGCCCTCCGCTCTCGCCCCTTCCTTCTCCTTGCATTGCCCGCGGCTGGTCTGCCGCACGCGGCCCGGAGTTCCGGCGGCGCTCCTGGCCCCGCCGTTGTTGGCCAGCCGCATGCCCAAGATGCATGCTGATCGGGCGATCCTGCATGATCTTGAACATCTTCGGGCTGAGCCCAGCTCGTCTCTTCGTGTCAGGAAGTGCTGCCTTGAGCACCCCGCTTCTCCGCCCCTCCTGTCCTCCCCCGTCGCCTCCCCTCCCCCGGGCTCCTCTCTTGTTTTTTGATGTGGATTTATCGGCTTGGGCCGCAAGGGATGCATAGATCTGCAATGCTCCATTTTGTTCCTGGGTGTGAGCACATACGTCGGCTCACCTATTGCAGGTTGGCCTGAGCGTGCTCTTTGATTCGGGCTTGTCTCCCCTGGCTGCTCCTCCGACTGCGCTGTTTCACATTTGTGCCGGTGTATGTCCAGCAGATGCTGCACAATGCAGCAGGTGTTGACAACCACGTTGACCTCTCCTCCCGCTTGCCTCCTCTTCTTCCTTGTTTGTGGTGGCGTTTGCCTGGCCCACCCTTTGCGAGCCCTACCGCTAAACAGCTTCACGGCGATACGAGGCCGTGTCCGTGCGCACTGCCAGTGGGTGGCAGCGGCTCATCTTGGGGAGCGCTCGTAGCCCCCATGAGGGGAAGCGGATTATGTGCTGTATCGGTGTGGGGGTAGAAGCTGGTGAGTGCTTTGTTGGAAAAAAAGAAAGAAGAACAAACACAAAATCGTCATCACTATCGTCATCGTCATGGTCATCGTTATTGTCATCGTCATCATCATGCCCATCATGATTATCATCATCACGTCTTCGTTTTCGTCATCATTGTCGTCATCATCGGCCTCACGATCAACATCATCATCATTGTCGTCATCGTCATAACCACCATCATCATCATCATCATCATCATCATCACTATCACCATCAGCATCGCCATCACTATCATTATCACTATCACTGTCACTATTCCTTTCACTCTCACCATCATAGTCGTCATCATCATCATCAGCATCATCATCAACACCATCATCATCACCATCGTCATCGTCATCATCAGCACCATGAACAACAACAACATCATACTTATCACCTCCATCACAATCAAAGTCAGCAGCATCATCATCATTATCATCATAGTCATCATCACCATCATCAGTATAATCATCAGCAGCATCATCATCCTTGTCGTCATCATCCTCAGCATCATCATCGTCATCGCTGTCGTCATCGTCATCGTCACCTTCGTCGTCATTATCGTCGTGTCAGCATGAAGGAGAGGTGGGTCCTGGAGGAGGAAGTTACCGCAGTTTCTGCCCGCCCGCTTCTGGTTGGCCCCGGTCGCGTGAACCCACGAATCTGGGGAAAAAATTAGCCCTGGGGAAGGCCCAGGAATGCAGGGCCCCATTTCCATGGGGACCTGTTTTCTTCTTGCCGATCGTCGGCGTCGTCGCGCTCTTCCTGGTGCTGCCAATCCTCTTCGCGTCTCTCCTGTTCGTCTTCGCTGCGGAGGGAGAGGCTCCCATTCCCGCGCGTGCCAGCGTCGCGCAGGAGGGGGTGGGGTCGGGGAGGCCGTGTTCTGGGAACGCCCCCGCCTCTTACAAAATAGAGGGGGGGGCTGCTGTTTGAGGATGCCCCTCCTCCTCCTTCTCCTCCTCCTCCTCCTCGCCCTCCTCCTTCTCCTCCTCCTCCTCCTCCTCCTCCTCCTCATCCTCCTCCTCCTCGGCGACACCTCCCGCGCGCATCGTTGAACAAGATCTTCTTCGGGCGACAACGCTTCCGAGCAAAACGGGGTTGAAGGGTTGACCTTGGTGCTCTAAGCTGGTCCATTCTGCGCCCACGCTCTGCCCGAGAAAGGACGCTTCGATCGGGTGAAACGAGAGGGCGTGAGAAGCAAGGAGGACATGAGGCAGAGAGGGAGGGGGAGGAACGCAAAAGAGCAATAACATTTTCACGCGTGGAACTATGAGCGTGCTAGAGACATGAGCTTCTGTCGGGCCAGGGGGGTCCTCTTTCGGGCGTTGGCTCGCGCTTCAAAACGTACCTACGTGTGCTTCTGTACGTCTCTGTGCACATGAGCTACACCTTCCTGGTAGTCCGCGGTGGCCCGTGGTGCCAACGCCGGTCGGCCGGCCTGCCGGCCGCGCGTTCCGACGACGAGCCCGACGAGGAATCCCGGGGCCAGTTCGGCTCAAGAGCCCAGGGCGCATTCTGGCAGACCGCGGCCCCCCCCTCCCTGTGTCGGACCCAGACCCCCTCGAGTTATGAACAAATCACGACGTTTTTTTTTTTTTGTTCCCCCCTAATTTTCGGCCTTTGGGGGGCCCGTACCGGCCCTCGGGACCGTCAAAAAACGGCTCAGGACGAAAAACCGGTCCCGGGGAATGGGTCGAGACCTCGGGCCGGGGGGTCGACGCCATGAAAAAGTCATGACGCCGGGGGTCTGGGGAGGGTGTTGGCCGCGCGCCTACGACCGATCCCGGCCAGGCCCACCCTTTTTTTTTATTTTTTTTTTTTTTTTTTTTTTTTGGGCACGAGATCGGGTACGTGCGCCACCTGGCTCGGCCCGGCCGCCGGGCACCGGCCCCCGGGGCCAGGGGGCGGCCCCCTGGCCCCAGGAGCGGTGCGGCATGCTCCCTCCGACCCGCCGCCTCTGTCCTCCTCCTCCTACTCCTCCTCTCCTCCTGCTCCTCCTCCCTCCTCCCTCCTCCTCCTTGCTCTCCTCCTCCTCCTCCCCCTCCTGAGTCCTCCTCATGGTGGGGCACCTGGCCCCTCCCGCGCAGCTGCTGCGCGCGCGCGATGTGCCCGCGGCGCTGGGAGCGCGCTCCCGTGCTGCTCGCGCTTCGCCCGGGGGCGGGCTCTGTGCGCGGCGCGCGGTTTTCCCCGGACGCCGCCCTTCGCGCTGGCGGGCGCCCGCAGCGCGCACCGCCTCAGGGCCGGCCCGCGGGCGCGGCGGGCGCGCTCGCGCCGGGCGCGCTCGCGCTCGGCGCGGCCCCCGCGGTCGTCAGCGCGGTGCCCGCCCGCGGCGGAGTGGCCGCCCACCTCAAGGCCCACGGCCACGTGCTGGCGGCGCGCACAGAGGGGGTCCTTTTGGGGGGAGGGGAGGAGGCCCCCTGGAAGCGCCCCTGCCTCTTCGAGGGCGCGGGCCTTCTCTCCGTGGGTGGGAGAGGCGCGGGCCTTCCAAGAAGCAGCCTCCTGCTCAGAAGCCTTGCCCCCTCCCTCCTGCCTCCTCGTGTGCGCGCGGCCAGTCTCGGAAACCGGAACATGTGCATGACCAGTGGCGGGCCCGCTTTTCAGTCCTACGACCTTTCGAGGCTCGGGGACGACGTCGGGGCGGTCTGGTGTACACTGTTTCCCCGTTTTCGCGGGGAAACGACGAAACATGTACACACCAGGATTCAGAGCCCCGAATCATCAGGGGTAACTCGGGTCAGGGATAACTCGGGTTCGTTTTTCGGGAATCCGAACCCGACTTACCCCGGACCCGACTTACCCCGGATAGTTCGGGCGTCCAGAGCCCCGAATCATCAGGGGTAACTCGGGCGCCCGAAGGATCCCGCATGCACCAGAATCCGCGCTCCCGTGCGAATTTCAGCGCGGGGTCGGGAAAGGCGTCGGTGCATAGGGTGTTCGTCTCCCCGCAAACGTCCACGGCCCCCGCGGCCGTGGGCGTGGCGAGGGGCCCGTGTTCAGGAGGGGCCCGTGTGCCACCACCACCACCCCCCATGTAGTTGCAGAAGGAGGAGAGGAGAGGAGGAGGAGTGGAGGGGAGGAGGGAGGAGGAGGAGGAGGAGGAGGAGGAGAGGAGGAGGAGGAGGAGGTGGAGGAGGAGGAGGAGGAGGAGGAGGAGAAGGAGGACCCCCTCCCCCTCCTACGTATGGTGGTGGTGGTGGGAAACAAGCCCATCGTGCGGGTGCTCCGTGGCGGTGCAAGAGGTGACCCTGGAGACCCCGGGCGGCACGAAGGAGTTCGAGTGCCCCGAGGACGTGTATATCCTCGACCAGGCCGAGGAGGAGGGCCTCGAGCTGCCGTACTCCTGCCGCGCGGGCTCGTGCTCCAGCTGCGCCGGCAAGGTGCTGTCTGGCGAGATCGACCAGTCGGACCAGGCCTTCCTGGACGAAGACCAGACGGGGGAGGGCTTCTGCCTCACGTGTGTGACCTACGCCACCTCGGACGTCACTATCAAGACGCACTGTGAGGACGACCTCTGAGAACGGCGGGGTCGCTGCGCCCGCAGAGTGCCGGCGTCACCGCTGGCAGCGGTTCGAGTGGGACTCTGGGCAGGCGGGGCCGGCAGGTGCACGGAGTCGCGTGCAGGACCGGATGGGTCCACCGCGGATTTTGTGCGACACATGTTTAGATTTATGTCGGGCGTGTCCCCCTACAGGGGGATTTTCGACGAAAAATAAAAAATACCCCAAAAATGCCCCAAAAAGGTAAAAGAATATTCAAAAAATAGTCCCCAGACTATTTTGGGAGCATTTTTTGATTATGTTTGGGGTATTTTTTGTTTTTCGTGGAAAATCCCCCTGTAGGGGGACAGTCCCGACTTAAGTTTAGATGTGATTAGATGAGTTCGGGGGTGGACAGACCTCCTACCTTGACACGTCGATTCAGGAATTGGCCGTTTTCGGTTCGCGAGAGGGCCTCGCGGCCGTCATTTTTGCGTGTCCAGGTCCGTCGGTTTCGGTCCCAGGCCGTTTTCAGTAAGGGGAGGTTCACTAAAGGGAGGTTTGTCCACCGCCGATGAATAGCCATGGCCGGCTGGGCCATGAAGTTTTCGCGCGCTCGTACGTGTCACATCTCATCTCCATATCGGCGCAGATTGCTGGATGGAGGAGCGGGCGAGCAAACAAGCAAACGTCCGACGAGAAATGTGCCATGTTTTTTCAAAGCTTCACACATCCCATCCTATCTGCAACGATTTTCAGTTCAGTTGTCGTGGAAAGGATAATGGATGTGTTAGCGAAACAAGGAGGGGCAACACCAGTCAAACCAATGTTTGGGTCAGCGCGAGCAGCCGAAAAGAATGGCCAGCTTGGGAGCCTCCTGGAGCCATGCTGGGGCTCTGTCGGGTTCCGCTTTGGGGCCTTCGTTTGCGCGTGCGGCTCTGGATGGCACTCGGCCACCACGAGAGAGTGCGGCGGGTTGATTCGGAGGGGGGTGGGGGGCCCGAGCTGCATCTTGGTTGAGGTGGCGTGCGTGACGCAGCTCCGATGTCTGAACACAGGTCCTGCAGCAGATTCTCAGGTGGGGGAAAAACGCACTCAGACACAATGAATCTTCGATTCCCAGGACGACCTGGGAAACTATGGCATGTGGGGGGGAAGACAACAACCCAGGAAATATGGGACAATATGGGGAATATGTTTCTTGGTGTGTATCTATTTGCGTGTCCTGGGGCCCCTTCAGATTGGGCCCGACGCCCATTGGGGTGGTGGAGACCGCCCGCGGGCGCCCCAGATCTGCCGGGGGTCCGCCTCGCCGGGCACGAATCGCAGGGCGCCCAAGATCTCCCAGTGTCTTCTGGGTCTGTGTCTTCCCCCCCGCTTCCCATATTTTGCCTCTTGTCGTCTTGTCTCGTCGTTCTGTCGCCTCCTCTCTCGTTTCCTGTCCTCCCGCTTTGTCGTTTCTGCGCTTTGGGGTCGTCGTTGCTTCCCCCTCGGCCTCGTCTTCCTCCTCTTCTCCCTCGTTCCCTCGTCGCCCTCCAAAAAAGAACGAAATCCATCGTAACGCTCGGCGGGTGTTTATTATTATTATTATTATTATTATTACTCCTATTATTACTACTATTATTATTATTACTACTATTATACATATACATACATATATATAATCCCGTATTTTCGGGGGAATCGACGATTCATTGTGCCTGTCTTTTTCCCTGGACGTGGGGCCCCTCCTTCTGCCCCCCCCTTTGTGAATCGAAGCTGTGCGCGGCCCGCTTAGCTTCGACCGGAAGAGGAGGTGCGCTCTCGACCCGCGGATCAAGAAAGTGTCTTCCCCCCCATTTCCCATATTTTCATATATATATATATATATATATATGTTCTGGGGGATCGACGATGCATCGTGTCTGTCTTCTTTCCCCTCCTGAGCATCCTGCATAGGTTTCGGAATCTTGGGCCCTCCTCCGAGAAGGTCTCGAGCTCCCGAGGCCTCCATCCCAAACCCGTCCGGTGACCGACTGCGCGGCCCGTCTCAAGACGGTCTTGGGCCCCACGACTGCCGGTTGGAGCTTGGTGCCGAAGAGTGATGGCCTCGCCAGATACCGCATCGGGCGACGAGACGTATGTATGCACATACGCGCATCCTGACTAGGCTTATCGCAGGCACAGGACTGGTGCGTATACGTGTACGTAGCTCCCCGCAGGTGCGGATAAGAGTGAGGGGGCGGTGGGGACGTCGGCAGTTTGCGAGGCTTTGGAGAAGTCCGTCGCAGGCGCCAATGTTTCACAAATTGTAAACGAGCCCTCCGCAGGCGCCGATTTTTTCGTTAAATCAATGTGGGCAGGTCGCGGGTGGGTCGCAAATGGGTCGCGGGTGGGTCGCAAATGGGTCGCGGGTGGGTCGTTGTTGGGTCGCGGGTGGGTCGCGGGTGTAGAGGGCAGAAAATACCCCATAGTAATCATCCCACAAGGCGAAGAGTTTTATAGTAAGCGCCCACAAGGAAATGGATCGAACAGGGCAGGCTGTTTAGTAAACGCCCAGGTCCGTTAGTAAACTTCAATTGTGGGGTCCGGGGTGGTTTTTCCTCCCTTGAGGGTGGGTCGGGGGTGCGGGTCGTGGGTGGGTCGCGGGGTGGGTCGGGGTGGGTCGCGGATTGGGTCGCGGGATGGCGGATGGGTCGCGGAGTTGGTCGCGGGTGGGTCGCGGGGTGGGTCGCGGGTGGGTCGCGAGTGGGTCGCGGGTGGGTCGCGGGGTGGGTCGCGGGTGGGTCGCGGGTTGGGTCGCGGGTTGGTCGCGGGTTGGGTCGCGGGGTGGGTCGCGGGGTGGGTCGCGGTGTGGGTCGCGGTGTGGGTCGCGGGGTGGGTCGCGGGTGGGACGACGACAACAAACAGCAACAACAACAACAACACCAGCAACAACAACAACAACACCAACAACAACAACAACAGCAACAACAACATCAACAACAACACCAACAACAATAACATCAATAACAACAACAACAGCAGCAGCAACAACAACAACAACATCAACAGCAGCAACAACAACACCAACACCAACACAACAACAACAATAACAACAACACAAACAACAACGACAACAACAACAACAGCCACAACAACAACAACACTTACAACAACACCAACATCAACATCAGCATCAACAACGGCAACAACAACAACGCAACATGCATAATTCTCGCCACGAGATCTTTGTTCAGCCACGCACCCAAGGACAATTCATGACCGTTCGCCCCCCTCACTCTGATGTATATATATATATATATACAAGACTGCATTGGCGCTTCGCGCCATGCCCCTTGTTCCTTGTGAGTTCGAATGCAGGCGGCGTGCGCGCGCGTGGACGTTGGGCCCGCCACCGCCAAGTCGGAATGGGTCAGGATCTCCTAAGCGGGAGCGACTTGACAACACCAGCTCTGGCCAGCTCAGGGCGTTTCTGTGCCCAGAGGCGCGAGTAAGTCTCAGGCGACTGGTTGGGGTAGCATGAAGCAGGGCATCCTCCTCTTGCTGTTCCTCCGCGTTATCCTGCCTCCTCTTTCTCCTCTTCATCTTCATCCTCTTTCTGCTCTTCTCTCCTTTTCCTCATTCCGCTTCCTTCTCTTCTCCCTTTTCTTTTCCTGTACTTCTTGAGGCGTCGAGACAGCTCCAAGACGTTTCCAACTGAGGTCCCTGACGAGCCCCAAGGAGTCCAAGCCTGGCGCATCAGGGCTAGGAGAGTGGGAAAACAGAAAACGTAGTAGAATAGCAATGTTTTCGGTCTTCTCGCTTTTTCACTTCCGGTTGATTCGTGGGGCGTCCAGACGAACCCAGGACGGCCGCAGGGAGGCGCAAGACAGGCCCGAGGATTCGAACGTTTTTTTGGAGGGGGGCGGGGGGGGGGAGCTCCCCGGCCAGCCCTATAGGGCCCGGAGAGGGGCGCCCAGAGATGGACAAATGTAGGAAAATCAATGGAAAAGCAAGGTTTTTGGTCTTTTCGCTTTGTCGCTTCCGATTGGCTGTTGAGGCGTCCAGATGCCTCCAAGACGGCCCCAGATGAGGCCCCAGACGAGCCCCAAGGAGGCCCAAGGCTGGCGCAACAGGGCCCGGAGAGTTGGGAAAAGCAAAGAGAACGCAGTTAAACCTACAAGGTTTTCGGCCGTCTCGCTTGTGCACTGTCGCTCGATTCGGGGGGCGTCAAGACGACCCCGGGATAGCCACAGCAAGGCGCCAGGCAGGCCCGAGGAGGCGAAATTCGTTGGGGGGGGCGCTGGGGCGTGAGCTCCCCGGCTATATATATATATATATATGTATGTATATATATATATATATATGTATGTATATGTCTATGTGTATGTCTATGTGTATGTGTATGTGTATGTGTATGTGTATGTGTATGTGTATGTGTATGTGTATGTGTATGTGTATGTGTATGTATGCATGTATGTATGTATGGTTGTATGTAGTATTATGTATGTATTGTTATGTATGTTATGTTATTGTTGATGTTATTATATATTTATATATATCTTATTAATATATACATGCATTTATTATGTATACGTGTGTGTATATAAAAACATATATGTATATGTAAGTGTGTATATATATATATATATATATATATATATCCATATCCATATCCATATCCATATCCCTGGGGGGCAGGCCCGGGGCCCACAAACAGCTGCCCCGACCCCCCATGGGAGGACGGGGCGGCCAGGGAAGTCCCGAATAGCCGAGGAGGGCCTCCAAAGGCTCCCCAGACGGCCCAAGCGGGCCCCGAGTCGCCGAAAAACTTCTCCTGCACGCCCAAGATAGGCCGAAGACGGCCCAAAAACCACCCAAGGCACTCTACGACGCTTCAAGACGCTTCTCCCGAGCGCTTCAAGAGACCAAACATCGTCAATTTCACGGAGGTTTGGGAGAGATTTTGGCCTTCCAGCTTTTTCGGCTGTCCGACGTTCCAGGCCAGCTCCACAGGCCCCCAAGAGCGCCCCAAGACGGCCCAAGAGGGCCCCCAGACGGCCCCAGAGTCGCCCCAGAGAGCCCCAAGACGGCTCCAAGATGCGCCCAAGAGGGGGACCACGACTCCTAAATTCGACCCTCCCGCTTGAAGAGTGCCCCAGGAGGCCCCAAGGAGCCCCCCAGAGGCCCCAGGAGGCCCCCGAGAGGCACCCAGGAGACCCAAACAAGGCCAACCACGAGATTCAAACCAGCACCCATGAGGCCTCTGACCCACCACCAAGGGCACCCGCCGCCCGCCCGCCGTCCGCGTAGCACGCACCACTCGGTACTCAACAGCTTCAGCCTCCAAGGCAACACCCTGTAGTCAGCAGCCCCCGTCTTCAAGGCAACACCCTGTACTCAACAAGCTCCCGCTGCAAGAGGGCACCCTTTCAGGAATTCGTTCAAATCCCGACCCGCCCGCCCGCCCGCCCGCCCGCCCGCCCGCCCGCCGCCCGCCCGACCGCTCGCCCGCCTTCCGCGTAGCACGCGCCACCCTGCACTCAACAGCCTCCGCCTCCAAGACAACACCTACCGCCGTTTGCGAAATAAACGCCCATCTTAGGGATCGAAAACAAGACGACGAAGCACGCCCCCTTTCCCCCGTATTTAAAGGTTGACGGGGAGGGCTGGGCAGTCCAACATAAGTGGGCGTTTATTTCGCAACGCTTCGCACTCCCCTTCGGCGTGTTCGGTGGCCAACATT